TCCGCAAAAGTAAGTTACGAACAAATGGAACTTGCAGCGTAATCTACATGCGTAACGAAATTAGCTGACATATTTGTGAGAAGAGATGCAATTATAAAACGCAGTTACACGCATTACTGAACTTGTTAATCCTTTACGACAAGATCGTTTTAATATCGGGATAGCACGGCACGCATGCAGTGGCCGATAATAGTGGGGATTATGAGTTTCAAATGACAGCATGGGGCGACACCAGTGTTGATTATATGATTAGCAGTATAGCGCGGCGTCGACGTAATACACTAGTGTGGATCATGGAATTTGACGTACCGTGTATTGGTCTCCACTATTGTGAAATGTGGAATTAAATGCTGTGTAGATTATAGGATAAGAAGAGCCGAGTTGGAAGAATGTCAGTAAACTGTAATCTATGAGCATATTCACATCGTCTCGCATTAGAAATTTAATGATCACAGGGTTCCCATTGTTTCGCCGTCCCAATACAAACAGTTCCCACTGGTCACTTACCATCGTGCTGTAAATTCTTAACAATTTTTGCGTTACCACTCTTATCTGGAATCTTGCTTATCTTAACGTATTTTGCTCTCATATTATTTGAAATCGTTATTCGCAGTTTATAGCTACGGTTATGCTAGCTGCCTGAATATTACCACTGTCGCTACTTGTTACTGACTGAACTGTATATATTCGTGGTTATGTTTGATTTCTGATATCAATTCTTATTTTCGTGAATGCTACACATATCCGTCCTTTTTTTTCTTGAACACAGTCTCGTTGTTCCCCCGGCCTTTCTCTCTTCCCCCCCCCCTCTCTCTCTCTCTCTCTCTCTCTCTCTCTCTCTCTCTCTCTCTCGCGCGCGCGCTTTCTTTCTACATCTCACTTTCTCTCTTCTCTTGCTCTCTTTCTACATATCACTTTCTCTCTTCCCTCGCTCTTTCTCTCACTATTTCTACGCTACTTCCTCTATCTTCTCACTCTCTTTCCATATATTCCCTCTACTCCTTGCTCTCTCTCCCTCTCTCTCTCTCTCTCTCTCTCTCTCTCTCTCTCTCTCTCTCTCTCTCTTTCTCTCTCT